CCCCAAAACCCCAAAACCCCAAAACCCCTTATTATTTATAATATATTAAATATGTCAGAACCTAGAGATCTTGAGAAAGGAGACGGAAATTATGCTGAGGTCCCTGAAGGGAGTTCTTCTATCGTAAGCTCCTTAAGTCATATTAAATTACTCCTAAATCTTCTGCCTTAACGCATATTTAGAACGCTTCGAATCAAGAAGACCAGATTCAGAGTACCCTTCCTGACATAAATCCTAAACGAAAACTAGACAAAGGGTTGACATTTAGTCCTGAGCATTCAGATGAAAATGATTCTCTAGAAGAAAGTCCTGATAAGATTGCCAGGGTCATCGAAAATACAGATAAGCCAGGTAACTTAGATTCTTTCAATGGATAATATGTAACCTAAAAGTCTTTGAAATTGACAAAAACTCTCCAAACAACTGTAATAAAAATGAACTGCTTATACTTCAGGTCAATTTTTTTGTCTCTGTCGAAGCTAAATTCTCTAATTTCCAATTCCTTAGCTTCTTTTCAAATACTAATTTTTCCTAGAACCTCATTCTTATAATCTCTCCAATTATGACAAGAAGGCAACGCTAAATAAGAAGCAGATGAATAACTTCTCTCCTGCTTCTGAGACGGACAAGATGAAGATTTCCAATAAAGAACAATCAATTTTTGCACCAAGAGGTCTTGATGCTACGAGGAATAAAAATTTAGGCAACAATTTGGAGGAAAATAAAGATTTCTCCATTAATAGTGTAGGGCATCATAGAGAGGAGCCCCACAGCGCCTCTAATGCTGCAAATGCAGAGCACCTCAAAATGTACTCTTCAGCTGGCTTTGGCAAGAAAGATCTTGAACGTAATGGTAAGAGTCATATCTCTTCTTCGAAATTTACTGATTGTTCAATACTGTTATGTTTGGAGCACCAGAAATTGGGGAAATTTAGGCTATTTTTACAAACTGCCTTGGTAATTTTCTTTGTCTATATGTAAATTTTAATCATGATTATTGTAGATAAAGAACAATATGATGGTCTTCAAGATGAAGAATCCTCTCTTGAGCACGGAAGGGAATCCCTTTCAGGTTCTAACTCTCAAAAACTGAGAAGTTACATCAGAGAAGAGAACAAATTAGGAGATTTAGTGAATGAGATTAAAGATGATGATGAGCAGGAAGATGAAGACCCAGATGAGCTTATCAAGCTCATAAATGTACATAAAACCTATCTCATGGGGCTTGAGGGTGTCCAAGCTCTAAGAGGAGTCAACTTGACTGTGAGAAAGGGAGAATTTGTCACTATTTTGGGAACTTCCGGTGGAGGAAAAACTACTATGCTTAATATTATTGGGACTATTGATAAACCTACAAAGGGTGATCTCTATTTGTGTGGACTCAGAGTAAAGAGTAATACCCAAGATAAGTTACTTGCAAGTATTAGGCTTAATAAAGTAGCATTCGTGTTTCAGTCTTTCAACCTGATCAGCTCTTTATCTGCAACTGAAAATGTTGAGCTCCCGATGCAATTAAAAGGAGGAATGTCAAGATCAAAGATTCATAAAAGAGCGAAGGATTTATTAACCAAAGTTGGCCTTGGAGATCGGCTAGACCATTTCCCAAATCAGTTATCAGGAGGAGAGCAGCAAAGGGTTACAATTGCTAGAGCTTTGTCGAATGAGCCCACAATCCTTCTCCTTGATGAGCCTACTGGTGATTTGGATACCAGAAGTTCTGATATAGTCATGAAGATCATCATGGATCTGAACTTGAATGACAACATTACCATGGTCATGGTGACTCATGATGTTGCACTGAAAGGCTTTGCTTCCAAGATCGTCAGAATGAGTGATGGAAGAATTGGCTCCATTGAAGAAATTTCCAATAAAGAAAGAATGAAAAATTACAACAAGCTTAGAAGAAGAGTCGAAAATATTGCAAATGGAGAAGATAAAGATAAGCTTAATGTCAGAGAAGGAGTACAAGCATACGATCAACAAGATGATGAATCTGATGAAGGAAGTGAAAGCGAGGAGGAAAAAGAGGTCAGCAAACGTATCTTTGATAAATCTGTTGAAGAGACAGCACCGCAAGATCCAGGGATCAACAGAGGCTTACCTAACAGAATGAGATTTATTCAAAATGCAAGAACAAGTAAGACCTCTGTCAGAATGCCAGGCGATTATCCTTATAAGAAGAAAGTTTGCTATCTGGACTAAATCTAAAAATATGTTTCAATTAAGAATTGAGTTAAAGGGGTTTTGGGGTTTTGGGGTTTTGGGGTTTTGGGG